TGACCGGCAGGGGTTGGCGTCTAGGGTCAGATCTGGGTCGGATTTGGGAGGGTTAGGTCTGGATCTGGGTGTGTACTTACCTGTGCTCCTAGCCGTCGTCCGCCGCCGTCCGACGACCGTCTACACCGCCGGCAGGGAGGACGAACGCTGAGGACCGACGCGCCGGCGACTACCTCGAGGAAGAGCCGTTACAGGCGGAGATTTTCTTGAAGATTGGACGAACAGAATCTTTATAAAAGCGAGTAATTCGAGGGGAAGATGGCGGATTAGAGATTGCGATAAATCGTGACCAAGAATTACTTTCCCCACTATTAATGAACTTGATTATTGAAACTATTCTCTTCATCCCATTTTACATTTTCGAGTTTGATTGTACACACTTTTTGAAAAAGTAAAAATAATGTATGGTTAATAATGGAATGAATGATCTAATATATTCCAAGAAGGATGTAGAGATGTTCTTAGGTGTTAGCCTGCCAGATACTTTTAGAAGTAATATTGAAATCAGATGAAAATGCCCCTGCTAACCTGTGAAACCTGTTTGGCAATTGATTGCATGATATATTTCCATCTAGAATATTGAGACACTGCACCTGTTGTGCTCTTGGGGTGTGTTAACGAATCTGAAAATTACATGACAAATACACCTCAATTCACCTTGTACTATGACTCGGCGAGAAATGGCATTGCTATAGAAACAAAATATAGAAGAAAAATAACATAAACATTACTGACCAAACTAATGAAAGTTTTTCATGGATGAAAAATAAGTATAGTCTCTTGTATTTGTTACTCCCTCGGTCCAGATAAAAGGTTTCACACTTTCTTTCTTTTGTTTGTCCCAACATAAGGTTCCATTTTCCTTTTCAAAAAAAATGATTATACAGTTCACATCATTTCTTCTCCTTCGCATAACTCTCAACCAATTAATTTCACCTTTCTTAATAATCATGCATTGTCAAATGTGGAACCTTCATTTGGAACGGAGGGAGTAAAAAACTGGGTGTGATCCATGTTGAAGAAGATAAAAATACCAATGTTACCTACCCCCTCTAAGATCTTCATCTCTATGATGATCACAAGCACCAGCTGTCTCCTCGGAATATGTCATGTTTTCTCTGAAGTGTTCAATTCCCTCTAATAAATCAGCTTTTACCTCATCCACAGATCTTGATTCTGCGCTTGGGCCTCCCTCCTGTAGCTCAAGATCTTGAACTTCAAGCCTTGTTTCAATTTCAAATATTGCACCACCAGAATACTCAATGTCAATTTCCATCATCCAAACTTCATTCACATTGGAAGGAAGAACTTTCATTGCATGAATATATGGCGGGAGATTACCCATATTAACATCAGTACATATCACTTCACCAATGTATGTGGGGCTTCGCATATTGGATAGGGTTCTCTAACAAAAATAGCACATGTAAATCAGGGTGCTGTGGTTGTTAATTTAAAAAAAAAAAAGAAATATAGTCAAGTACGAAAGAAGTGCTTTTATGAATATGCAAATATGCAACCCCACAACATGCCACAATTAAAGTTTTGTGTTCGTGGTGACTTATTTCTAAGGAATCAGTGCTTTTTAGAGGAAGAAAAGTCCCCTCACTTATAGAAGTGTTTAACAAGAAAAATGCTTTTAACAGTATATAACACCTTTACTGCTTATTTAACAACGCAGCAGATTGGTGATTAAAAAGCCACTTTAAGTGCTTAAACTAAGAAGCATTTGTGATAAAAGCATGTATAACATATGTTATCCCAAACAAGCTCTATAGCTTGACTAATGCGCAGCAATTAAGAATGCAATGTACAAGGCACCCACATCATGCAAGGTCCATGAAGAGATAGGAGGGTATGAAGTGGCTAGACTTCTCAAGTTTCTTTGTTATGCAAACAATAAGTTTAAGCCTAACATATGGAACCGAGATTTATAATTGCTCCAGTATCCAACTATGGAGTAGGGACTATGACAAAGTCGCAAAACACTACACTACTTAGTAGTTAACATGTATATAGGTTTAAACAGTCATGTCTCCTTTTTAATTTGATAGATAGAAAGCATTTATAACCAGTTTTAATAAGTGAAAGAACACTATTTGATTGAAATGTACAACAAAGACAGCCTCCTTCTAGCACACTTAAATCCTAACATACCTGGATTCGAGCTAGTAAGGATGTTCTCATCTCTGCATTCTGTTTAGCATCAAAAAATAAACGTGATATTAATAAATTCCAACATAGAGTTCCATCATTTGACGCTTTATCATCTGAATCTGCATCTGAAATTACAGCCACATGATTTCTGCACACTGATCCATTTAATGTTGGTAGTGATGAAGGGACCATAATTTCCTCAGTGGAACAACCAATAGATTTTTCGGTTGGAAGTTCGCGACTTGATTTTAAGACCAAGTTTGCCTTATTTTCTAGGCCACTCTTAGAAGCTTTTTTGGAAAGTTTCCGCAGAAAATTCCGAACCTTGGATGAAGAGATATCAACCTTGTTTGACTTGTTATCTGAAGGCTCGATGCTTACATCAAGTGGAAATTGTTTTAGAAATGAAGAAGGATACACAGCAGTCAGTAACATCATATAGTTTTGGAACTCAGTGTACAAATTGCTGAACCACTTCAGCTTCTCAGCATCCTCACATGTAGCAATATATAAGGCTTTACACCAGGATTCCTTCTCCCAAGATGTCTCAAGATATATGTATATTATTTTACTTCCTTTGTATACCGTTGATGATTTGCTTTCTATTTTTATTGGGTACCTCTTTGCCCTGTATAATTGCAGATAAAATAAATGGATGCCAAAACTAAAATATATCTGGTTTGATGAAAAGAGCTAAAGTAAATGGTTCAAGGTCAAATTGAAAAGATTATGAGATGTATGCATAGAATCTAAGTGAAAGAGAGAACATAAAGACTTTTGTTGCACACATAAGCACCGTGTCTTGGTGAAATACAGTTGGGTATGGAGTTGAGGCTCAAAGTAACAGAGTTTATTCACTTTTGAATGGAAGGTTTCCAATTACATCATGAACTTTGGGTTTCCATCCTCTGCTCTTTTGGTACAACTCATGCACATGACATTTGCTTATTTGTCTCATGCCAAAACCAGAACTCCGTGATCACCATTTCGAATTAGCAAATGAAGGCTATAAAGCAGATACAATGATGTGTATACAAAATTTTTATGCATGTCTTGCCAGAACCAGAAAGTTTATGTTCAACAAACAGAACATTTAGCTAATACTATGGATGTATATGCACAGATTTTTGTGCACACTGTCCCAGCACTGGAAGGTGGCTTTAGAAACCCAACCAAGTCTAGCTTATGGCTGAACTAAGGGCGTAATAGCCAAGCCGTGTGCCCACACACCCACAGAGAGATTTGTTAAATGAGAGAAAGATAAAGCAATGCCTTTATAAAACAACAAACCCAGGTACACAACCTTATCTGTGTAAAAAAAAAAAAAAAAAACTTAGAGGTACACAACCTTATCTGTGTAAAAGACATAGAGGTTGTTTCCGTTAGACTTGTGATACAATGAAACTTCATTAAAAGCAAGGGAAGTTTAACGTGTAATTTTGATTTAACCCACTGTATATCCATAGCTAAAAGCCTAAAACATGATCAAAATTGACTTTTTTAGCTTCACAAAAAAAAGGTGCTCAATACATCTATGGAGTAATGTATATTTTTGATACCCAACTAAAACAATGACCAGTGACACATTGGCAGCCACAAATAAAGGCATGCATAAATAACATCAGCCATATATGTGTGCTTTCTGAAACTGATAAGCAATCTCTGCAGTCCAACCCAAAGACTTGATTACCCTTTTGTGAAGCAATAAACAATGTCATTTGTGCCATCTCTGAT